CATACAGCCTATAAGAATCGTTTCATTACCGTACTGTGTTACATTTTAAACCCAAAAAAATTGGTCTTTGGGACCCTTCTGCTAAGACTGAAACCGACTCGTTGGAAACCCTAAAAACTCCTTTTTGGAGAAACTTCAAACCCTAAAAACACCTTTTTGGAGTAACTTTAAACCCGAAAACACCTTTTTGGAGTAACTTTAAACACGAAAACTCCTTTTTGGAGTAACTTTAAACTCTAAAATCTCCTCTTTGGCCCCTTCTGCCAAGCTGTTAGGTCGCTCTGACACTTGGAGCTGTCTGCAATCAGAGGGTGTTGTTCCATCAAAAGGGGATCACCTTCAGGTGACCACACTGTTGTTTTCCTGTTGTTCGGTCACTCTGGGATCTCAAAGCTTGCTTTCCTTTCAATCTTGCTGATGGTTTCCATATTCTCAAAATCTTTTGCCAGGCAATCACATTGATAAGGCTTTGCTGTTACACCTTCCCCAACCAGCATCAGCATAAGCACCGTGACCATCGGTGTCCTTGACGCAGAAACAGGATGCGGAATCCTCATCCTTGAGGTTGTTCATGGTAAGCGTCACTGAGCTCTGCCCGTTGTCCCTGGAGATCCCGAACCGGCCCTTGACGGAATCCGCGTACGAGGTGCTGCCACCACTGCTGGTGATGGTTCTGACACACTCCAGCCCCTGCCCAGGTCTCTGGCAGATCCAGGCCATCCCAAAATTGCCAAAATCAAAACCGGACCCTCGGCACTGCAACGTCAGGGACCCCCCGGGGGGCTTGAGGTTGCCCCCACACTCCAGCAGAGTCATGGCCGCCCGGAGCCCTGCGGGACAAAGAGGACATGGGGATGAGGCGATGCAAAAGTCAGGCAGAGGTGTCCAAGTAATTAATGGGTGGATTGGGGCTCATTGCTCGGTTTAAGGCACTTTACCTTTCAGGATACATCTGTTGGAGATTTGGGGACAAACAAAGGGAATTTGGGGCAAAACCGGTGAAGGTTTGGGCATGGGGGAGCGGCCGTGACCCTGCTGGAGTGCAGGGGGGACCTCCAGCCCCCCGGGGGGGTCCCTGATGTTGCTGTGCCGAGGGTCCGGGTTCAATTTTGGGAGTTTTGGAATGTTCTGGATCCGCCAGAGACCTGGGCAGGGGCTGGAGTGGCTCACTGGGATCTACAGCAATGGTGCTTACACCGAGAACGCGCCATCGGCCAAGGATCGGTTCACGATCTCCAGGGACAACGGGTAGAGCTCGGTGACGCTGACCATGAACAACCTCAAGGATGAGGATTCCGGATCCTATTTCTGCGCCAAGGCTGCTGGTGCCAGTTGGGGTAATGATGTCTCTCGTCTTGGCCCCATCCCCTTGATTGCGTCCCCTCCTGTCCCCAATCCCCAGACCCTTCCTCCAAATCTCAGCCCCTGACCCCATTCTTGACACTTTGTCCCAGATCTTCCCCAGTTCCAACAACGCCAACCACTGAGCCAAAACCCCCAAGCTGGTTCTGCCCGAAACCCAAATGCTTTGGCCCCAAAATTCACACGATTCTGCCCCAAATCCCCACTTGTGCTCCCAGCCACAGCCACTGACATGAGTCGTGAACCTTTGACCCAAAATCAGGACCCTGGGCCTCAAACCCTGACCTTCAGAGCTAAGGTTTGGGGCACAAAGAGGAGATTTGGGGTCAGGAGTTGTGGTTTGGGGTCAGCGGGTGAGGATTGGGGCCGAGGCAGAGCAAGGTTGGGATCGATGGTCAAGGGCTGGGTGTAGGCTGGGGGTTTGGGGGAAGGGTCTGGGGGGCAGGGAGAGGGGCGGGGACACGGCCATGGGGATGGGGTCAAAACGTTCAGCACCAGCAGAACCATCATAGCAACCAGTATCCACACATTTGGCACAGAAATAGGATCCGGAATCCTCGTCCTTGAGGTTGTTCATGGTCAGCGTCACCGAGCTCTGCCCGATGTCCCTGGAGATCGTGAACCGACCCCTGACTGATGGGGCGTACCAGGAGCTGCCACCACTGCTGTAGATACTCGCAACCCACTCCAGCCCCTGCCCGGGTCTCTGGCGGATCCAGAACCTGTCGTAACTCCCAAAACTGAACGCAGACACTCGACAGAAAAGGCGCAGGGACCCACCGGGGGGCTGGAGGTCCCCCCCACACTCCAACAGGGGCACGGCCGCCCGGAGCCCTGCGGGACAAAGGGGAGATGGGGATTAGAAACCTGATTGGCTGTGGGCCTCAAAGTGGGTGTGTCAAACTGGAAAATCGGACGGGACCCACCTGAGAGGGGCAGCAGGAGCAGAACAACTAGGATGGGGTGGTCCAAAGGTCCCAGTTTGGGGCCAAGCGTCAGGATTTGGGTCAAGGGTTGAGCTTTGGCCTCATCCCCATCTCCCCTTTGTCCCGCTGGGCTCCGGGCAGCCGTGACCGTGCTGGAGTGCGGGGGGGACATCCAGCCCCCCGGGGGGTCCCTGAGCCTCCTCTGCCGAGGGTCCAGGTTCGATTTCGGAAATTATGGAATGTTCTGGATTCGCCAGAAATCTGGGAAGACACTGGAATACCTCGCAAGTATCAATGGTGTTGGCACCACCCACCAAGGGCCATCAATCAAAGGTCGGTTCACGATCTCCAGGGACAATGGGCAGAGCTCGGTGACGCTGACCATGAACAATCTCAAGGACGAGGATTCCGCCGTATATTTCTGCTCCAAACGTAGCAGTAATGATTATGGTTTTTCTGGTCCTGCTCTTATTGGCGGCAATTCTATCAGCGGACCACCCCCAAGTGTGTCAAAAAATGTCTCCAATGCCCAGCGATCCTTCCCCGACATCCCAGCCCTTTGTGTCAAATCTTCACCATTTTCCCCCAAACCTTGACCCATCCTTCCCCTAGTCTCGATTGTCTCCCCAGTTTTGCCCATTTCACCCCCATCTCCCCCAGTTCCCGTGCCCTGATTGGAGGAGGCCTGAACTGGAGGCCAGGGGTGAAGGTTTGGGGCCAATGGTTGAGTTTTGGGGCAGGAGCAGGGCAGGGTTTGGGGTCAGTGCTGACCACTGGGGCAAATGGGGGAGATTTGGGACACAGGGTCAAGGGCTGAGGTTTAGGGGGAAGGGTTTGGGATTGGGGACTGGGGAGGTCTTGGTGATGGGAACAGGGGCAAAACCATCAGAAGCAGCAGCAGCAGCAGCAGCAGCATCCCAATTATTATCAGCAGTTTTGGCACAGAAAAAGGATCCGGAATCCTCGTCCTTGAGGTTGTTCATGGTCAGCGTCACCGAGCTCTGCCCGTTGTCCCTGGAGATGCTGAGTCGGCTACTGAACGATGACGAGTATCTGGTGTCTCCATCATAATCAATCCCTGCAATGTATTCCAGGCCCTGCCCAGGCCGCTGGCAGATCGACATCAGACTGGTTCGTCCGAAACTGAATCCGGACCCTCGGCAGAGCAGGCGCAGGGACCCCCCGGCGGGCTGGAGATAGGGATGAGAAACCTGATTGGCAGTGAGATCAAAGTGGGCGTGTTAAACTGGAAAATGGGTTGGGATCCACCTGGGAGGAGCAGCAGGAGCAGCAGGACCCACCTGGGAGAAGGATGATGAAATCCAAGGGTCAAAGTTTGGAGCCAAGAGTCAGGATTTGGATCAAGGGTTGAGCTTTGGCCTCATCCCCATCTCCTCTTTGTCCCACAGGGCTCCGTGCCGCCGTGACCCTGCTGGAGTGCGGGGGGGAACTCCAGCCCCCCGGGAGGTCCCTGCGCCTCCTCTGCCGAGGGTCCGGGTTCAGTTTCGGCAGTTTCAGAATGTTCTGGGTTCATCAGAGACCCGGGCAGGGGCTGGAATACGTCGCAGCGATCAAGAACGATGGATCCAGCTACGCCTACGCATCATCAGTGCAGGGCCGGTTCACGATCTCCAGGGACAACGGGCAGAGCTCTTTGACGCTGACCATGAACAACCACGAGGATGAGGATGCCGGTTCCTATTTCTGCGGGAAAGCTGCCTATGATACTTGGGGTGCTGCTGCTGATCGTATTGACCCCATCCCCATGGCTGTGTCCCCACCTCTCCCGTTTCCCAAGACCCTTCTCCCAAACTCTGCCCCTTACCCCATTTCTGACCCAATCTCCCAACCCTGCCCTGGCTCTGCCCCATATTCTCTACTCTTGGCCACAAAGTTGACCGAAATCATAACCCTTGACCAGAAGTATCCACTTTCAGAATCAAGTTTTGGGGCCCAAAGTGGAGATTTGCGGTCAGGAGTTGTGGTTTTGGGTCAGCGGGTGAGAATTGGGGCTGGAGCAGAGCAAGGTTGGGATCAATGGCCAAGGGCTGGGTGTGGGCTGGGGGTTTGGGGGAAGGGTCTGGACAACAGGGACAGGGGGGACACGGGGATTGGTGTGGGGACACCTTGGGCATGGTCACTACGACCAGCATCTTCAGCATAATTATAAACATCACACTTGGCGCAGAAATAAACACCAGAATCCTCGTCCTTGAGGTTGTTCATGGTCAGCGTCACCGAGCTCTGCCCGTTGTCCCTGGAAATCGTCACCCGGCCCTTGACCGATGGCTCGTAGATGGTGACGCCATTGTAGTGGATCCCTGTGACGTATTGCAAACCCTGCCCGGGTCTCTGGCCAATCCAGTACATTCCATAATCACCGAAACTGAACCCGGACCCTCGGCACAGCAATGTCAGGGACCCCCCGGGGGGCTGGAGGTCCCCCCTGCACTCCAGCAGGGTCACGGCTGCCCGGAGCCCTGCGGGAAAAAGGGGAGATGCGGATGGACAAAGCTCAACCACTGACCCCAAAATCCTGATTCTTTGACCCAGAATTTGAACCTTGGCTCTCTCCATCAGCTTCATCCTGCTGCTCCTGCTTGGAGTCCCAGGTGGGTCCCGCCCCTTTTTCCAGCCAACCACCCCCAGTTTGGGGCTTTGGACCAATCAGGTTTCCCATCCCCATCTCCCCTTTGTCCCGCAGGGCTCCGGGCGGCCGTGACCCTGCGGGAGTGCGGGGGGGACCTCCAGCCCCCCAGGGAGTCCCTGCACCTCCTCTGCCAAGGGTCCGGGTTCACTTTCGGGAGTTATAAAATGTTCTGGGTGCACCAGAGCCCCGGGCAGGGGCTGGAATACATTACAGATATCAGCAATACTGGTGGCTACACCGGCTACGCGCCGTCGGTCAAGGGCCGGTTCAGGATCTCCAGGGACAACGGGCAGAGCTTGGTGACGCTGACCATGAACAACCTCAAGGACGAGGATTCCGGATCCTATTTCTGTGCCAAATGTTACAGCAGTGGCTGTGGTAATGGCGCTTATGCTTATGGTGTTGATGGTGGTTGTGGTCCCAAGCCCTTTTTTCTGCGTTTCCAAGTATCACAAAATTATCTGATCCTTCCCCAAAATCCCAGCCCTTCTCCTGAAATCTCAGCCCTTTTCCTCCAAACTCTGCCCCTGCTGCCCAACTCTCGACTTTCCCCCAGTTTTGCCCATTTCACCAAAATCTCCCCCAGCTCCCCTGGCCCTGATTGGAGGAGGCCTGAACTGGAGGCCAGGGGTGAAGGTTTGGGGCCAATGGTTGAGTTTTGGGGCAGGAGCAGCGGAGGGTTTGGGGTCAGTGCTGACCATTGGTGCAAATGGGGGAGATTTGGGACAAAGGGTCAAGGGCTGAGGTTTGGGGGAAGTGTCTGGTTTTGGGGGAGGAGGGAACTCAAAATTGAGGACTCAGAAAAAACCACCGTGACCAACCTCATCACAATCAATGTCTTTACCAGCAGCAGGACCACAACAACCATCCCAACTTTTAGCACAGAAATAGGATCTGGAATCCTCGTCCATGAGGTTGTTCATGGTCAGCGTCACCGAGCTCTGCCCGTTGTCCCTGGAGATCGTGAACCGGCCCTGGACTGACGGTGCGTAGTAGATGGTGCCACCAGTGTTGCTGATGTAGGCAACGAATTCCAGCCCCTGCCCGGGTCTCTGTCGGACCCATTGTAGGGCAAAACTACCCAAACTGAACCCGGACCCTCAGCACAGCAACGTCAGGGACCCCCCGGGAGGCTGGAGGTCCCCCCCGCACTCCAGCAGGGTCACGGCCACCCAGAGCCCTGCGGGAGAAAGGGGAGATGGGGATGAGAAACCTGATTCGATCAGGGTCGCAAACTTGGAGGGTCAAGCCTGATAAAGTATCGAGACCCACCTGGGAGGAAGATGATGAACTCCAAGCGTCCCAGTTTGGGGCCAAGAGTCAGGATTTGGGTCAAGGTTTGAGCTTTGGCCTCATCCCCATCTCCCCTTTGTCCCGCAAGGCTCCGGGCGGCCGTGACCCTGCTGGAGTGTGGGATGGACCTCCAGCCTCCCGGGGGGTCCCTGCGCCTCCTCTGCCGAGGGTCCGGGTTCAGTTTCGGGAGCTATGACATGTTCTGGGTGCGCCAGAGACCCGGGCAGGGGCTGGAGTAGCTCGCGTGGATCAAGAGCAATGGTGGCAACTCCGGCTAAGCGGATTCAGTCAAGGGCCGGTTCAGGATCTCCAGGGACAACGGGCAGAGCTTGGTGACGCTGACCATGAACAACCTCAAGGACAAGGATTGCGGATCCTATTTCTGCGCCAAATGTTACACCAGTGGTTGTGGTCCTTATATTTATGCTGCTTTTATTGACAATGCCAGTGGTGGACCCACCCCAGCCATTGAAAGCCCACAAACATCCAGAAATTTCGACATTCTACCCTCAAATCTTTGCTCCTGGCACTGAATCATTAACATTTTCCCCTAACTCCCCCATCATTGCCTCACCTCCCACATTTCTATGGGGCATTCATCATTTGGCCCAAATCTCAAAGGTTCATCCCCAAAACTCTGCCCTTTGTGCCCCAGATCTCAGCGGGGTTCACTTCTGACCATTGGCCCTAAACTCAGCTGGCTCTGCCCCAAATCTCGGCTCTTGGCGCCAAACCACAACTCTTGGCTCCAAGGCTCAACCAAGGCTCTCAACTCTCGGCGCAAATGGTCAAGATTTGGGGAAAATGGGCCAGATTTGGGTCTGTGGAGTCCAGCAATGGGGTCAAGGGTAGGAGGGAAGGACCTGGGGAACGGGGACAGGTGGGGACACAGGGATGGGGCCAGGACCAAAATTAGAACCAGCAGCATGAGCCTCCCAACCTCAACCATCATAGGCGTTTTTTGCACAGCAATAGGATCTGGAATCCTCGTCCTTGAGGTTGTTCATGGTCAGCGTCACCGAGCTCTGCCCGATGTCCCTGGAGATCGTGAACCGACCCTTGACCGACGGCACGTAGAAGGTGTTGACACCATCAGCATTGATACATGCAATGAATTCAGGCCACTGCCCAGGTCTCTGGCGGATCCAGTACATTCCATAATTCCCAAAACTGAATCCGGACCCTCGGCAGAGCAACGTCAGGGGCCCCCCGGGGGGCTGGAGGTGCCCCCTGTTCTCCAACAGGGGCACGGCCGCCCGGAGCCCTGCGGGACAAAGGGGAGATGGGGATTAGAAACCTGATTGGCTGTGGCCCTCAAAGTGGGTGTGTCAAACTGGAAAATGGGGCGGGACCCACCTGAGAGGGGCAGCAGGAGCAGGACAACTAGGATGGGGTGGTCCAAAGGTCCCAGTTTGGGGCCAAGCGTCAGGATTTGGGTCAAGGGTTGAGCTTTGGCCTCATCCTCATCTCCCCTTTGTCCCGCAGGGCTCTGGGCGGCCGTGACCCTGCTGGAGTGCGGGGGGGACCTCCAGCCTCCCCGGGGGGTCCCTGAGCCTCCTCTGCCGAGGGTCCGGGTTCGATTTCGGAAATTATGGAATGTTCTGGATCTGCCAGAAATCTGGGAAGACACTGGAATACCTCGCAAGTATCAATGGTGTTGGCACCACCCAGCCCGCGCCATCAATCAATGGTCGGTTCACGATCTCCAGGGACAATGGGCAGAGCTCGGTGACGCTGACCATGAACAACCTCAAGTACGAGGATTCCGCCGTTTATTTCTGCGCCAAATGTAGCAGTAATGATTATGGTTTTTCTGGTCCTGCTCTTGTTGGCGACAATTCTGTCAGCGGACCACCCCCATGTTGGTCAAAAAATGTCTCCAATGCCCAGCGATCCTTCCCCGACATCCCAGCCCTTTGTGTCAAATCTTCACCATTTTCCCCCAAACTTTGCCCCATCATTCCACTAGTCTCGATTGTCTCCCCAGTTTTGCCCATTTCACCCCAATCTCCCCCAGCTCCCTTGGCCCTGATTGGAGGAGGCCTGAAATGGAGCCCCCAGGTGAAGGTTTGGGGCCAATGGTTGAGATTTGGGGCAGGAGGATGGGAGGGTTTGGGGTCAGTGCTGACCATTGGGGCAAATGGGGGAGATATGGGACAAGGGGTCAAGGGCTGAAGTTTAGGGGAAGGGTCTGGGTTTAGGGACTGGGGAGGTCTTGGAGATGGGAACGGGGTCAAAACAATCAGCAGCAGCAGCAGCAGCAGCATCCCAATTATTATCAGCAGTTTTGGCACAGAAATAGGGTCCGGAATCCTTGTCCTTGAGGTTGTTCAGGTCAGCGTCACCGAGCTCTGCCCGTTGTCCCTGGAGATCGTCACCCGGCCCTTGACCGATGGCACGTACTCAGTGTAACCTCCACTGTCACTGATCCTTGCGACAAATTCCAGCCCCTGCCCGGGTCTCTGTCGCACCAAGCCCATCCCAAAACTCCCGAAATCGAAACCGAACCCTCGGCACAGCAACGTCAGGGACCCCCCGGGGGGCTGGAGGTCTCCCCCGCACTCCAGCAGAGTCACGGCCGCCCAGAGCCCATCCCAAAATCCTCACCAATTTCACTCATAACTCCCCTGGTTCGGTCCCAAACCTCAACAAGATTTTTTGGGTATCCTGAGGTTCCTCAAAAGCTGGAATTAAATAATCTCATTAATTAATTGGACACCTTCTCCTCAGGGTTCCACATTGATTTCAAAAGCAATACCACGTTAACAACCCCCAAAACCCCCCGGGACCCCAACCCCGGCGCAGCCCGGCCTTGGCCCTGAGCTCCCCCTGGCTCCAGGCCCTGCTGCCCCTGCTGCCCCTCCCAGGTGGGCTCCGCCACTTTTTTCTGGAACACGCACACCTTTTCCCCTTCCGGACCAATCATATTTCTCATTTTTAATCATCTCCCCTTTATCCCGCAGGGCTCCGGGCGGCCGTGACCCTGCTGGAGTGCGGGGGGGACCTCCAGCCCCCCGGGGGGTCCCTGCGCCTCCCCTGCCAAGGGTCCGGGTTCAGTTTTGGGAAATTTGACATGCTCTGGATCTGCCAGAGACCTGGGCAGGGGCTGGAATTCATCGTGTGGATCAGGAGCGATGGTTCCAGCACCTAGTACGCGTCGTCGGTCAAGGGCCGGGTCACGATCTCCAGGGACAACAGGCAGAGCTCGGTGACGCTGACCATGAACAACCTCAAGGACGAGGATTCCGGATCCTATTTCTGCGCCAAAGCTGCTGGCGCTGCTTGGGCTGCTGCGGCTACTTACATTGACCGTGCTGGTGTAGGCAGCACCCTCGTCTCAGCCTCTCTTGTCCCCAAATCTCAGAACCTTCACCCAAATCTCAGCCCTTGACCTCATTCTTGACCCATTTGCCCAGATCTCCCCCATTTCCACCAATGTTGACCAAAGGCCCAAAACCCCCAAACTGGTTCTGCCCCAAACCCTCCTGCTTTGACCCCAAAACTCGCCCTATTCTGCCCCAAATCCCCACTCTGGGCTCCCAGCCGCAGCCGCTGACCAAAACCTCACCCTCTGTCCCCAAATCTCTACCCTTGGGGCACTTTTGGAGCACGAAGGGGAGATTTGGTGCCGAGAGTTGAGTCTGGGGCCAGACCCAGGGGAGGGTTTTAGGCCAATGGGCAGCGTTGGGGCAAAGGGGGCGGGCCTGGGACAAAGGGTCAGGGGTGGGACAGTGGGGATTGGGGAAGGGTCTGGGGACAGCTGGGGACAGGGACGGGGCTGAAACCCCAAACACGAACCCAACCACCGGGAGTGAAACCAATGGCATGGGCGGCATTCCAGCCACCATAGGAATCCTTGGCACAGAAATAGGATCCGGAATCCTCGTCCTTGAGGTTGTTCATGGTCAGCGTCACCGAGCTCTGCCTGTTGTCCCTGGAGATCGTGACCCGGCCCTGGACCGAATCTCTATAGTGGGTGTCCAACAGTGTTTATCTGTGCTACGAACTCCAGCCCCTGCCCGGGTCTCTGGCGTACCCAGCCCATCCCAAAACTGCCGAAATCGAACCTGGACCCTCAGCAGAGGAGGCGCAGGGACCCTCCGGGGGGCTGGAGGTCCCCCCCGCACTCCAGCAGGGTCACAGCCGCCCGGAGCCCTGCGGGACAAAGGGGAGATGGGGATGAGGAACCTGATTGGTTCAGGGCGAAAAACTGGGATGGGAAAGCTTGATAAAGGATTGCGACACACCAGGGAGGAGGATGATGAACTCCAAAGGTCCCAGTTTGGGGCCAAGAGTTAGGATTTGGATCAAGGGTTCAGCTTTGGCCTCATCCCCCTCTCCCCTTTGTCCCGCAGGGCTCCGGGCGGCCATGACCCTGCTGGAGTGCGGGGGGACCTCCAGCCCCCCGGGGGGTCCCTGCGCCTCCTCTCCCGTGGATCCGGGTTCAGTTTTGGCAGTTTTGACATGTTTTGGATCCGCCAGAGACCCAGGCAGGGGTCGGAATACATTGCAGATATCAGTAATGGTGGTGGCAGCACCTACTACGCGCCATCGGTCAAGGGCCGGTTCAGGATCTCCAGGGACAACGGGCAGAGCTTGGTGACGCTGACCATGAACAACCTCAAGGACGAGGATTCCGGATCCTATTTCTGTGCCAAGGCTGCTGCTGGTTGTGCTGGTTTTAATGGTGCTTATTGTATTGACCCTGCACCAATTTCTATGTCCTCCCTTGTCCCCGTTCCCCAGGCCATTCCCCCAAACCCCAACCCCTTACCCCATTCCTGTCCCCGTGACCCCCCCTCTGATCGGGCTCTTCCCCAAATCTCCCCCATTTTCCTCCAAATTCCCAACTCTCGGCCCCACCCCTTCACCGTTGGTGCCAATTTTTTTGCCAAATCCCCAGGATTCGGTGCCCCCAGTACGGGTTTGAGGCCAGGGGTGCAGATTTGGGGCTGGCCCAGAGGGATTTTCAGGCCGATGGTCACAATGGAAGGGAGGGTAAATCTGGGGTGAAAGGCCGAGATTTGAGGGATGGTTCTGGGCAAACGGCCCCAGGGTGAAGGGAAGGGCGAGATTTGGGAAAAATGTGAAAAATTGGGGGAAAAGTCCAGAGTTGGGTCAGCAGGGGTGGAGTTTGGATAAAATGGTGACGATTTGAGGAGAAGGGCTGCGATTTGGGGGAAGGATCACCGGGATTGGGGAAATATGGTGACCATCATGGTCACTACCAGGATTGATGCCAAAACCAGCAGCATGAGCGTTGCCAGCATAAACATTGGAACATGTAGCGCAGAAATAAACAGCGGAATCTCGTCCTTGAGGTTGTTCATGGTCAGCGTCACCGAGCTCTGCCCGTTGTCCCTGGAGATCGTGAACCGGCCCTTGACCGACTGCGAGTAGATGGTGGTGCCACCACTGTTGATGTATGCCACGAATTGCAGAGCCTGCCCGGGTCTCTGATGGATCCAGAACATTCCAAATCTCCCAAAAATGAACCCAGATGCGCGGCACAGCAACGTCAGGGACCACCCGGGGGGCTGGAGGTCCCCCCGCACTCCAGCAGGGTCACGGCCGCCCGGAGCCCTGCAGGACAAAGGGGAGATGGGGATGAGGCCAAAGCTCAACCCTTGACCCAAATCCTGACCCTCGGCCCCAAATTGGAATCCTTGGAGTTCATCATCCTCCTCCTACAGGGGTCCGACCACTTTTTCAATCATGCAATGCCAACTTGGGCACTCTTCACCAATCAGGTTTCCCATCCCCATCTCCCCTTGGTTCCGCAGGGCACTGGGCGGCCGTGACACTGCTGGAGTGCAGGGGGGACCTCCAGCCCCCCGGTGGGTCCCTGTGCCTCCTCTGCCGAAGGGCCGGGTTTGATTTTGGAGGTTTTGGGATGCACTGGGTGCGCCAGAGACCCGGGCAGGGGCTGCAATGGCTCGCAGGGATCACCAGCAATGGTGGTTACACCGCGTACGCGCCGTCGGTCAAGGGCCGGTTCACGATCTCCAGGGACAACGGGCAGAGCTCAGTGACGCTGACCATGAACAACCTCAAGGACGAGGATTCCGGATCCTATTTCTGTGCCAAACATGCTGGTAGTGGTTGTTGTAGACCTGGTTCTTATAGTGAAGATGACAGTTGTGGATCCACCCCCCTCTCAGTCTCCCCCCCTGTCCCCAAACCCAGCTTCTTCCCCCAAACCCCAGCCCTCGGCCCTTTGTCCCAAATCTCCCTCATTTGCACAAATGGTCAGCACTGACCCCAAACCCTCCCCTGCTCCTGCCACAAAACTCAACCATTGGCCCCAAATCTTCACCCCTGGCCTCCAGTTCCGGCCTCGTCCAATCAGGGCCCAGGAGCTGGGGGAGATTTGGGTGAAATGGGAAAAATTGGGAGAAAGTCGGAAGTTGGGGCAAAGATGGTGGACACTGCGGGAGAAGGTCAAGAATGGGGTCAAGGGTTGGGATTTGGGGCAGGATTTGGGGATTTTGGGACATTTGGGGAGCCAGGGATGGGGGTTTGGGCCACCACCAGCATCGTCACCATGTCCATAGCTCTCAGAGAGGATTCCAGCCCAGCCCCAAGGAGCAGCCCCAGACACCGAGGCCGCTGATGGAGCAGTGAAGCCCCTGGTGGGAGGGAGGGAGGGAGGGAGGAGCAGACGCCGCGATTTTGGGGCTCCGCAGCCTCCCCCCACTTCCCCTGCGGCAGCTGCAAGGGCCCGGCCGGGGCAGGAAAGGAAACAGAATGTTCCTGGTTTTGGTCATTGTGAACATCTGTGTTTGGCAGAGGCCAGCTCAGCCTCGGGGCACTGCGGCAGAGCGCCGGCTGCACAAAAAGCTTTGTGTGCAAAGGGCCCTGGAGCGATCCCCGTTCCGCACTGGGACGGAGGGGAAGGGCCAGAATGGGGAGAAATGGGGGAAATTGGGTGGAAGTTGGGAGTTGGGGAAGTGATGGTGGAGTTTGGGGGAAATGGTCAAGATTTTAGGAACACGGCTGGGATTTTGGGGAAGGATCTCTGGGATTGGAGACATTAGTTGACCATCATGGTCACTATCAGGATTGATGCCAAAACCAGCGTCAATAGCATTGCCAGCGTAACCATTGCAAAGTTTGACCCAGAAATAAACGGCGGAATCCTCGTCCTTGAGGTTGTTCATGGTCAGTGTCACCGAGCTCTGCCCGTTGTCCCTGGAGATCCTGAACCGGCCCTTGAACGATGGCGCGTATCTGGGAGTGTCGCCATCAGTGGTGACACTCGCCACAAACTCCAAACTCTGCGCAGGTCTCTGGCGCATCCAGCCCATCCCAAAATTCCCAAAATCGAACCCAGACCCTCGGCAGAGGAGGCGCAGGGACCCCCCGGGGGGCTGGAGGTACCCCCTGCCCTCCAGCAGGGTCACGGCCGCCCAGAGCCCTGCGGGACAAAGGGGAGATGGGGATGAGGCCAAAGCTCAACCCTTGACCCCAAAATCCCAACTATTGGCCCCAAATTGTGAACACTTCGTCCTTCTCCTCGTGATCCTGGTCATCCTCCAGAATGGATCCCATCCTATTTTCCAACTGGCCTGGATGACTTGAGGACTCTCGACTAATCAGGTTTCCCATCCCCATCTCCCCTTTTTCCCGCAGGGCTCCGGGCGGCCGTGACCCTGCTGGAGTGCGGGGGGGACATCCAGCTCCCAGGGGGACCCCTGCGCCTCCTCTGCCGATGGTCCAGGTTCCGTTTCGGGAGTGTTGCCATGAACTGGGTGCGCCAGAGACCCGGGCAAAGGCTGGAATGGGTCGCCTACATCAGGAGCGATGGTTCCAATATTTACTATGCGCCATGGGTGCAGGGCCGGTTCAGGATCTCCAGGGACAACGGGCAGAGCTCGGTGACGCTGACCATGAACAACCTCAAGGACGAGGATTCTGTCTTTTATTTCTGTGCCAAACGCGCTCGTAGTATTTATGGTGGTGGTGTTGCTGCTTTTAGTGACAATTCCAGCAGTGGTCCCACCCTCCATGATGGTCACCAGATGTCTCCACTTCCAGTGATCCTTCCTCCAGAGCCCAGCTTTTCTCCTCAGTTGTTAAGGAATTTCCCCCAAACTCCGCGTCTGCTGCCCCAACTCTCGGCTTTCCCCCAGTTTTGCCCATTTCACCCAAATCTCCCCCAGCTCCCCGGGCCCTGATTGGAGCAGGCCTGAACTGGAGGCCAGGGGTGAAGATTTGGGGCCAATGGTTGAGTTTTGGGGAAGGAGCAGGAGAGGGTTTGGGGTCAGTGCTGACCACTGGGGCAAATGAGGGAGATTTGGGACAAAGGGCCGAGGGCTGGGGTTTGGGGGAAGAAGATGGGTTTGGGGACTGGGGAGGTCTTGGAGATGGGAACAGGGTCAAAACCATCAGCAGCAGCAGCAGCAGCAGCATCCCAAATATTACCAGCAGCCTTGGCACAGAAATGGGGATGAAGGAAAAAATCCACCCAAATGTTGATTCTTGCATGCAGATCCTGATGTGTACCAAAAATTGGGGCCCTTGGACCTCCCCATCTTCGTCCTGCAACTCCTGCCAGTCATCCCAGGTGGATCCCACATCCTTTTTCTGGCATGGCGGTGCCCACTTTTGATCCAAAACCAATCCAGCTCCTCATCCACACCTCCCCTTTTTCCCGCAGGGCTGCGGGCGGCCGTGACCCTGCTGGAGTGCGGGGGGGACCTCCGGCCCCCCGGGGTGTCCCTGACGTTGCTGAGCCAAATATCCGGCTTCAATTTCACAAAATCTGCAATGTTCTGGATCCGCCAGAGACCCGGGCTTGGGCTGGGATTCGTCACGGGGATCAACGGTGATGGTTCCACCCCCAGATACGCGCCGTCGGTCAAGGGCCGGTTAAGGATCTCCAGGGAAAACGGGCAGAACTCGGTGACACTGACCATGAACAACCTCAAGGACGAGGATTCCGGATCTTATTGCTGTGCCAAAAACGCCTATGATGGTTGGGGTTGGGAGGCTCATGCTGCTGGTTCTAATTTTGGTCCCGTCCCCATCCCCATACCCCAGGTCCTTCCCCTCCTACCCTTGAACCCATTGCTGAACTCCACGGACCCAAATCTGGCCCGTTTTTCCCCAAATCTCGACCATTTGCACCCAGGTTTGGGGACCTTGGTTGAGCCTTAGAGACAAGAGCTGAGGTTTGGGGCCAAAAGCTGAGATTTGGGGCAGAGCCAGGTAAGAGCTGGGCCACGGGGAAAGGAATGGGGTCAGGGGCTGGGGTCTGGGGAAGGGCCTGGGGAACGGGGACAGGGGGGACACAGGGATGGGGATGAGGTGAACACCATCCACACCAGCAACAGCACCCCAATTATTAAAGGCAGCTTTGGCACAGAAATAGGATCCAGAATCCTCGTCCTTGAGGTTGTTCATGGTGAGCGTCACCGAGCTCTGCCCTTTGTCCCTGGAGATCGTGAACCGGCCCTGCACCGATGGCGCATAGAAGGTGGTGCCACCACCACTGCTGATACTTCCAACACATTCCAGCCCCTGCCCGAGTCTCTGGCGGAGCCAGCACATGTCAAAACTCCCAAAACTGAGCCCAGACCCTGGACATAGGAGGCGCAGGGACCCCCCGGGGGGCTGGAGGTCCCCCCCGCACTCCAGCAGGGTCACGGCCACCTGGAACCCAGCGGGATAAAGGGGAGATGGGGATGAGGCCCAAGCTCCACCCTTGGCCAAAATAATGGCCCTTGGCTCCAAACTGTGAACCATGGACCATCCCATCCTGGATTTTTGCTTCTGCTGCCTCTCCAAGTTGGGTCCCACACGCTTTTTTTGGCATGGCCATGTTCCCTTTGGGTCCGCAGCCAATCAGGTTTCCCATCCCCATCTCCCCGTTTGTCCCGCAGGGCTCCGGGTGGCTGTGACCCTGCTGGAGTGCGGGGGGGACCTCCAGCCCCTCGGGGGGTCCCTGCGCCTCCTCTGCCGAGGGTCCGGGTTCAGTTTTGGGGGTTTTGGCATGCAGTTGGGTGCGCCAGAGACCCGGGCAGGCGCTGGAATGGCTTGCAGGGATCAGCAGCAGTGGTGCTTACACCGACTACATGCCATCGGTCAAGGGCCGGGTCACAATATCCAGGAACAACGGGCAGAGCTCGGTGACACTGACCATGAACAACCTCAAGGATGAGGATTCCGCCAGTTATTTCTGAGCCAAGGGTGCTGGTGCTGCTGATAATGATGCCTATTGTATTGGCCCCGCACCCATCGCTGTGTCACCACTTGCCCTCACCTGTCCCAGACCCTTCCCCAATCCCCAGGCCCTGACCCCATTCCTGTCCCCGTGTCCCAACCCTGCCTTGGCTCTGCCCCACATTCTCAGCTCCTGGCCCCACACTTCAGCTCGGGGCCCACTCGGGGCCATTTTGACTTCGGAGCTCTCCTTGGCGATTCTGACCCTTCCCTTCACCAATGGAACGTTCCAGATGACTCCACCCTTGCACCCATCTGCTTCGCTCAGCCTGGAACCCTCGACTCGAGATCAATTTGAAAAATTTAATTTCCCCAAAATTTCATGTGTTTTTTGGGTAAAAAAAAGGGGGTTTTCTCAAGTGAGAGGATTCCAGCCCAGCCCCAAGGAGCAGCCCCAGACACCGCGGCCGCTGAGGGAGCAGTGAAGCCCCAGGCGGGAGCGAGGGATGGAGGGAGGGAGGGAGCAGCAGACGCCGCGATTTTGGGGCTCTGCAGCCTCCCCCCACTTCCTCCCCGGCAGCTGCCGGGGCCCGGCCGGGGCAGGAAAGGAAACAGAAAGTTCCTGGTTTTGGTCATTGTGAACATCTGTGTTTGGCAGAGGACAGCTCAGCCTCGGGGCGCTGCGGCAGAGCGCTGGCTGCACAAAAAGCTTTTTGTGCAAAGGGCCCTGGAGCGATCCCCCTGCCACACTGGGACAGAGGGGAACTGGGGGAAATTGGGGAGAAATGGGCAAAATTGGGGGCAAATTGGGAGTTGGGGAAGTGATGGTGGAGTTTGGGGGAAATGGTCAAGATTTTAGGAACACGGCTGGGAGTTTGGGGAAGGATCTCTGGGACTGGAGACATTAGTTGACCATCATGGTCACTACCAGAAGTGAAGCCAAAACCAGCGTCAATAACATTGCCAGCGTAACCATTGCAAAGTTTGGCACAGAAATAGGATCCGGAATCCTTGTCCTTGAGGTTGTTCATGGTCAGCGTCACCGAGCTCTGCCCATTGTCCCTGGAGATCCTGAACCGGCCCTTGAACGATGGCGCGTATCTGGGAGTGTCGCCATCAGTGGTGACACTCGCCACAAACTCCAAACTCTGCGCAGGTCTCTGGCGCATCCAGCCCATCCCAAAATTCCCAAAATCGAACCCAGACCCTCGGCAGAGGAGGCGCAGGGACCCCCTGGGGGGCTGGAGGTCCCCCCCACACTCCAGCAGGGTCACGGCCGCCCGGAGCCCTGAGGGACAAAGGGGAGATGGGGATGAGAAACCTGATTGGCTGTGGGCCTGCAGTGGGTTTGGCCAGCTGGAAAAAGGGATGAGACCCACCTGGGAGGGTGACCAGGAGCAGGAGGAGAAGAACAAATTGTCACAACCTGAGGCCAATAGCTGGAATTTTGGGGTCTAGGGTTGAGATTTGCCCTTCCCCATCTCTGTTGGGATGGGCGGGAGAAATGCGGCACGCGATGTGAGTGATCAGCAAGTCTCAAATCTTTATTGGTAGGCACGCATCTTTATATCGGTGTTAATGGGGCTCATGCATATTGCAAAGGCGAGCTCACCTTTGGTCGGTTACTCATCAGCCAACTGCGCCTCATTCTGCATTCTTGTGGGTATTTTATTGAAACTTCTCTTCGTATTCCTGCCAAAGATGCTCTCCCCTACCCTGCCGTTGCACCAAGGGCACAATGTCCTTGCCTGTAACTGGACACTGGCTGCTGGCTCCAGTACTTGTCCCCTTCAAGCTTGACCAGCGGCATTATGTCAACGTGACCTTTAACAGCCAACCAGCTGTCCACAAAGCTCAGCACACTTCTCCCCTTTGTCCCGCAGGGCTCCGGGCGGCCGTGACCCTGCTGGAGTGCGGGGGGGACCTCCAGCCCCCCGGGGGGTTCCTGCGCCTCCTCTGCCGAGCGTCTGGGTTCACTTTCAGCAGTTTTCCCATGCAATGGATCCGCCAGAGACCCGAGCAGGGGCTGGAGTGGCTCGCGGGCATCAGCAGCCCTTCTGGTTCCAGCACCAGCTACGCGCCATCAGTCAAGGGCCAGTTCAGGATCTCCAGGGACAACGGGCAGAGCTTGGTGACGCTGACCATGAACAACCTCAAGGACGAGGATTCCGGATCCTATTTCTGTGCCAAATATGCTTATACTCCTGATGGTACTTATGGTGTTTCTTCTATTGAAGTGCCAGGCTTGGCCCCATTCTCCAACCAGCACTGCAGGAGCATCAGGGCATAGGACGGTCGGGACAGACGGACGGACACGAGAGATTTCTGCAGCCAGGTTGTGGCATTTGGGGTTTATTGCAAAGGACGAACTGCAGGGCCCTGCAGGGAGCTGCCAGGCACAGCTGGAGCAGGGCTGAGAGAAGAGAGGGGAGAGCAGGAGAGAGGGTGAGACGGTAAAAGAGGAAGAGAGTAAGAGAGTAAAAATGGTCAGAGAGTAAAAAGCATGAGATAATAAAAAGTGCAAGAGAGTGAAAAAGTCAGTGAATAAAAGGGTAAGAGCATAAAACTGTAAGAGAATAGAAGCATAAGAAAGTGAGATTCCCATCACCACACAATAAATCATCTTCTGTGTTGAATATTCTAATTCTCACTAACCAATCTGGTACAATATACAAATGCTATAGCATTTCATCCAGCCTAAAACAATCATTACATTACTACACTTTGTTACATTTTAAACCCTAAAAATTCCTCTTTGAGCCCCTTCTGGTAAGCCTAAAACCTACTCTTTGGAAACCCTAAAAACTCCTCTTTGGAGTAATTTGAAGCCCTAAAAACTCCTCTTTGGGGTAACTTTAAACCCTAAAAACTCCTCTTTGGGCCCTTCTGCCAAGCTGTGGGGTCTGCTCTGACCCTTGGTCCTGTCTGCAATCAGAGGGTGTTGTTCCATCAAAATGGGATCACCTTTAGCCGGCCACGCTGAACAACTGTTTTCCAGTTGTTCAGTAACTGAGGGATCTCAAAGCTTGCTTTCCTTTCAATCTCGCTGATGGTTTCCATATTCTCAAAATCTTTTGCCAGGCACTCATATTGATAAGGCTTTGCTGTTCCATCTTCTCCAACCAGCATCAGCATAAGCACTGTGGCCATCGGTGTCCTTGGCGCAGAAATAGGATCCGGAGTCCTCGTCCTTGAGGTTGTTCATGGTCAGCGTCACCGAGCGCTGCCCGTTGTCCCTGGAGATCCTGAACCGGCCCTTGACTGAATCCGCATACCCGGTGCTGCCACCACCTCTGGTGATGGTTCCGAGCCACTACAGCCCCTGCTCAGGTCTCTGGCGGATCCAGGCCATCCCAAAATTTCCAAAATCGAACCCGGACCCTCGGCACAAAAATGTCAGGGACCCCCCGGGGGGCTGGAGGTGCCCCCCGCACTCCAGCAGGGTCACAGCCGCCTGGAGCTTTGCAGGACAAAGAAGAGATGGGGATGGGGCGATGCAAAAGTCAGGCAGAGCTGTCAAAGTAATTAATGGGTGGATTGGGGCTAATTGCACGGTTTAAGGCACTTTACCATTCAGGATACCTCTGTTGGAGATTTGGGGAAAAACAAAGGGAATTTGGGGCAAAACCGGTGAAGGTTTGGGCATGGGGGAGCGGCCGTGACCCTGCTGGAGTGCAGGGGGGACCTCCAGCCCCCAGGGGGGTCCCTGCGCCTCCTCTGCCGAGGGTCCGGGTTCAGTTTTGGGGATCATGGAATGTTCTGGATCCGCCAGAGACCCGGGCCGGGGCTGGAGTGGCTCACGGGGATCAGCAGTGGTGGTTACACCGAGTACGCGGGTTCAGTCAAGGGCCGGTTCAGGATCTCCAGGGACAATGGGCAGAGCTCGGTGACACTGACCATGAACAACCTCAAGGATGAGGATTCCGGATCCTATTTCTGTGCCAAGGCTGCTGGTGCCAGTTGGGGTAATGATGTCTCTGCTCTTGGCCTCTTCCCCTTGACTGGGTCCCTTCCTGCCCCTAGGCCCCAGACCCTTCCCCCAAATCTCAGTCCTTGACCCCATTCTTGACCCTTTGCCCCAGATCTCCCCCAGTTCCAACACCACCAACCACAGCGCCAAAACCCCCAATCGGGTTCTGCCCCAAATCCAACTGAGTTGGCTCCAAAAATCACCCGAATCTGCCCCAAATCCCCACTTTGTGCTTTCTGCAGCAGCAGCCGCTGACACGAATCCTTAACCTTTTACCCCAAATCGGGACCCTTGGCCTAAAACCCCGACCGTCAGAGCAAAATTTTGGGGCACAAAGTGGAGATGTGGGGTCAGGAGTTGTGGTTTGGGGTCAGCGGATGAGAACTGGGGCCGAGGCAGAGCAAGGTTGGGATCAATGGCCACGGGCTGGGTGTGGGCTGGGAGTCTGGGTAAAGGGTCTGGGCAACGGGGACAGGGGGGGACACGGGGATGGCAGAGGAACCCCATGGGCATCGTCACTACGACCAGCACTTTCAGCGTAATAATTAGCAGCACACTTGGCGCAGAAATAAATGGCGGAATCCTGGTCATTGAGGTTCATGTTCAGCGTCACCGAGCTCTGCCCGTTGTCCCTGGAGATTGTGAACCGAGCCTTGAACGATGGCACATAGCCGGTGCTGCCACCAGTGTTGTAGATGACTGCGACATATTCCAAACCCTGCCCGGATCTCTGGCGGGTCCAGTACATTCCATAATCCCCAAAACTGCACCCGGATCCTCGGCACAGCAACGTCAGGGACCCCCCGGGGGGCTGGAGTTCCCCCCCGCACTCCAGCAGGGTCACAGCCGCCTGGAGCCCTTCGGGACAAAGGGGAGATGGGGATGAGGCCAAAGCTCAACCCTTGACCCAAATCCTGACTCTTGGCCCCAAATTGAGACCCTTGGTTCTCCCCATCCTCCTGCTGCTCCTGCTGCTCCTTCCAGGTGGCACCACCCCATTTTCTAGCTTAACACGCCACCAATGACACCACAGCCAATCAGGTTTCCCATCCCCATCTCCCCTTTGTCCCGCAGGGCTCCGGGCGGCTGTGACCCTGCTGGAGTGCGGGGGGGACCTCCAGCCCCCCAGGGGGTCCCTGCGCCTCATCTGCTGAGGCTCCGGGTTCAATTTCGGGAGTGTTGACATGTTCTGGATCCGCCAGAGACCCGGGCAGGGGTTGTAATTCGTCACAAGTATCTACTACACTGGCGGTTTCATCGCCTATGCGCCGTCGGTGCAGGGTCGTTTCAGGATCTCCAGGGACAACGGGCAGAGCTCGGTGACGCTGACCATGAACAACCTCAAGGACGAGGATTCCAGATCCTATTTCTGTGTGAAATCTTTTAATACTGCTACTCCTGCTGCTGGTTATGGTGACAGGGCTGGTGTTGGTCCTGTTCCCATGTCTGTGTCCCCACCTGTCCACGTTCGCCAGACCCTTCCCTCCAACCCCTGATCCCACTCCTGACCCTTTGTCCCAAGCCTGCCCTGCTCTGACCCCAAATCCCAGCTCCTGGCCCCAAATCAGGGCCGGTTTCACCCTGAGCTCACTCTCGTCCCACAAATCCCAACCATTTTTGCCAAACTGGACCCATTCTGCCCCAAAATTTCAGTGGTGGAACTATGTCATAGCCACGGACCAAATTTGGCTGATTTTCCCCAAATCTCAATCATTTGCACGCAGGTTTGGGGACCTTGGTTGAGCCTTGAAGCCCAGAGCTGAGATTGGGGCCAGGAGCTGAGACTGGGGTAGAACCAGTTCAGAGCTGGGACAGGGGACTGGAGTGGGGTCAGGGGCTGGGGTTTGAGGAAGGGTCTGGGAAATGGGGACGGGGGGGACGTGCGGATGGGGACAGGGCCAAAACTATCAGCAGCAGCATCCCAATTTATATAATCACATTTGGCACAGAAATAGACGGCGGAATCCTCGTCCTTGAGGTTGTTCATGGTCAGCGTCACCGAGCTCTGCCCATTGTCCCTGGTGATGCTGAACCGGCCCTTGACCTCGGATGGGTACCAGGTGTATCCACCACTGTCAAGGCATGCAACTGTTTCCAGCCCCTGCTTGGGTCTCTGGCGCACCCAGCCCATCCCAACACTGCCGACATTGAACCCAGACCCTCAGCACAGCAAAGTCAGGGAGCCCCCGGGGGGCTGGAGTTCCCCCCCCCCCCCCACACTCTAGCAGGGTCACGGCTGCCCGGAGCCCAGAGGGACAAAAGGGAGATGGGGATGAGGCCAAAGCTCAACCCTTGACCCAAATCCTGACTCTGGGCCCCAAATTGGGACCCTTGGAGTTCATCATCCTCCTCCCAGGTGGGTCCCATCCCTTTTTCCAGCTGACCACACCTGCTTTGAGGCCCTTGAACAATAAGGTTTGCCATCCCTTTGTCCCACAGGGCTCTGGGCGGCCGTGACCCTGCTGGAGTGCTGGGGAGACCTCCAGCCCCCCCGGGGGTCCCTGTGCCTCCTCTGCCGAAGGTCCGGGTTCGATTTCGGGAATTATGGAATGTTCTGGATGTGTCAGAGACCCAGGAATGCGCTTGAGTGGGTCACGGGGATCTACGGTAATGGTGGTTACACCGCCTACACACCATCAGTCAAGGGTCAGTTCACGATCTCCAGGGACAACGGGCAGAGCTCGGTGACGCTGACCATGAACAACCTAAAGGACGAGGATTCCGCCATTTATTTCTTTGCCAAATGTTATGCCAGTGGTTGTGGTGGTGGTGCTGCTGCTCATGGTGTTGATGGTGGTTGTTGTCCCAAGCCCTCTCCTCTCTCTTCCCAAATAGCTCAAAATTCTCTGATCCTTCCCCAAAATCCTGGCTCTTTTTCTCACATCTCAGATATTTTCCCCCAAACTCCACCATTGTTGCGGTGTGTCTTGAGCTTCCCGGTCCCTTTCCCAGGTGTGCCTATACCTCTCTCCCTTCCCCCTTGCCCCCATGCTGAGTGAGTCCTGTCAATCAGGCTCAACATTCCAGCGAGGTGTCCTGTGGTTGGTCAAGTTCAAAAGATGCCCCTATGCCCAGGGGTCATTGGCCAGTCTGGGTGTCGTCCCCCCCCTGAGACCCAGCCCCCCTCACCTGGTTGGGTGGCTCACCTGTACCTCCCCTCCCCCTGCCCCGGGAGATTAAAAGGTGATCAGGCCATGTGCTCGTGCATTCTGCTGGAGCAGCTGCTCCCGTCCAGACCTC